AAGAGGCTGGTTTAGCAGTATGATTTTATAACAAATGCATTTTAAAATAATTCTAGAGGAAGAATTTCCTGCTTAAAAGCACCAAGTCCACAACATTGAAGTGTTTGTGGGAAATAGCAGTTTTGTATACGTATTTATAACTTACTGAAAGGAGGTTGCACAAACCTGATTTTATTTTGGGTGGCAGATTAATGGTGTGGTCATGGTTAGTTTCTGAAAGGTCAGGATTTTCCTTGTAGTATGAATTTCAGGTCATCTTAATAAAAGTAAACACATTTAATAATGGTATATGAAAAGACAAGTTACGGATGTCATTTTATGAACTGCAACAGTTCTCTGTAGGTGGATTTTTTTGTTTATGCACATGTGCATATGCACATAACCACAGACACACAAACACTTATGTTTAAAATTTGATTTCTTCTCAGCTGGATCCTATTTTTATGCCATTCTTTTGTTGTCTTTAATGATATTAGACCAGTATTTGTATCAGTAAAACTGTTAAAATGTGTCCTGACTGTTCTTAAGAGTGCTAGAATCCAACTTAAATATGAACTTTTCCTGAGGAGCTATGCTTTTTATAATGTGAAAAAAAAGTCCTATCACAAATCATGCAAAATGAAAACAAGAAGGCTTCAAGGAAATTAAGATGTTTGGCTTCTATCATGATATTTAAATGAATATTTAAACTGCTTCTGAAATAGGATTTACGGATCATCATATAAAAAGAGGGCCAAGTATACCGGAGCAACATTTAAAATGTATTCTTAATTATTATTCCTGTGAACAAATCTGTTATATTCAGAAAGCTGTATATATTTTTATTCTCTTCTAATTCTTACTCTCCATATTATATTTTGTATGTATTTTCTAAGGCTCCTGTGAGAAAAGCACTGGTTTTTCTGAGGAGTGGTTTGCAAATTTAGCCCACAGTAGCTTTATAATTGAAAAGTAGTTGAATGTTTGAAAGGAGCAAGGTTCAAGATTTTAGTTTTCCTCTGGAAAAAGTATCAGTGTAATATTTATAACTGAACCTCTGCTAATATTAAAAGCATGCTGAAGCAGGCCTCTGTGGTAAAAATAGCTCTTATGCGTAATATACATTTGAGGAATGTTAAAGGAAGTATGAGGGACAGAGAGGGGGAAGAATAATTTACAATACATAGGTTGTCAGAAAGGATGGACCCTACCTGCCTTTGTCAGTCTCCTTTCTTGCAGTATCCCTGTTGTTTAAAGGTTGGTGTGTATGGCTCGTACATCTGAAGATATCTGAGCATCATCTGTAGTTCCAATGTCAGTGGTGGACAGTCACAGGGAAAGTGTCATTCTTCTGTATGGTCTCCCAATTTATGGTGGAAAAAAGTTCAAAATTAAAACTATAGTAGCAAACAGAGAGCTTTAAAAAAAATCAGAAACTAAAATATACACCTGCTCCCTAATATCTGCAAATAGATTTTCTTCGTTTACTGCTTTCTTTGTGGGCTTTATTTTCTCTGTTCTCTTCAAATCTATCTTTTTATCTGACAATCAGTTTCTTTGTTTCCTCCGCTGCATTTGCCTGTGCTTCATTATACATCCCCCTGTTATGTACCCACTTGTATTTCATATTCTGTTGTGTTTTTATATTTTCCATCTCTTTTCTTACTTGGTTCTCTAAAGAGTCACACATGTCTTTCTTTTCCATCAGGAATAATTGTCCCCTCTGCCATCGTGATAGACACCACACAACTTTCTTGTTTTTCTCTCAGCCTTTTTCTTGACAACTTTGTGTACACTGACAGTTGAGTCTGGCAGAAATGTTTATGGTCTCCTACTTGTTTCTCTTTCCCCATTGCCTGATACCCTCTGTTTTATCTCTTCACTTCACTAAAGGAGATGCTACTATTGAATCTGGGTGTTAGCTGAAGCAACTTTCCTTTCCTAGTCCCTTCGTGTGCTGCCTCTCACAACAGCGACCTGTCACCAAAGGCTGGTCTCTGCAATGAAACAAGCTGGGAAGGTACAGGAGGTGGGCAGGGAAATCAAAGAGCAGAGCTTATGCTGACATTTCAGGCACGAGGAAAACTGAGGCCCAGGATGGATGTTCTGCCAGTCCTGGATGCAAGTGAGAGGAAGGAAAAATAATTTTCTAGGTGGCAGTTTAATTTAGCATTGAAATCTGTATGCTTTCTTCTTCCTCATTTTGGATCTCAATCAGTTTTGAATGTGATGTTCACATTAAATGCAGATGTGAGATACAGGAAACATTACCTTGAATGATGACAAAAAAAAATAATAAAAAGCTGATATAATTACAGTGTAGTTTACTTTTTTTCAGTGGTTGTAGTTTCTCCACATATATCGCTGTTCTTTCTCTTCTTTTTTTCCCCTGAGTTGCTGTAGTGTCTCTACAATAAGCTTTTTTTGAGATACAGTGTTTCTTTTTAAACTTTTTTTGCCTGTTCAATTGGCTGAAGTATTTACAAAGGAGCTTTCAGATCGAATCAGCTGTATTTTTAAAAGGTTCAATCCCTTAGGCAAAGGTGAGGGATGTATTAGTTGCATCGGTGTGTTTATGAATCCACTGCCTCGCTATCCATGTGCGTTCAGAACTGCATCTAACGGAGATGTTTTCTGTGGCCATCTTTGTTAATGCCGCCTTCAGCGTTAGCAAACCTGGGGCCTGACCACTGGGCCATGCAGGCGGGTGCTGCTTGCAGCCTTCCCTCCTTCAGCACACGTCCAGCTCTGGCCATCAACCCAGAAGCGTGCAGGAGTTGCACAGCAATTAAAGGTGCTTATTTATTTTTTTAATTCCTTCCCCTTGAAGTATTTAATACTGTGATAGCATCTGTGGCTCAGCAAATGGCTATTTCTTTTTTCATGCAGAATATTTCTTCTTAAACGTAGCCACTTGACCATTCACACTCTCATCTTGGGTTGTAATTACACGATTAAACAGCAGAGCTCACCAGGAAATGGGGCATGTTTCCCAAAGCCTCTTTGGTCCTGTGGACCATGTGGATCTGTCTGAGGGGACCTCGGCCAGGGCATGTCCATCTGCTTGGGAAACAGCAGAGACCTAATGGCAGAATGGGACAAAGCAAGCTGTGATCACGGGGTTGGATTGGGAAAGAGCACGCTGCAAGTTTGTTAATCAGAAAAACTACAGTATCTGGGCTTGTCTGGAGTGTGGACAGGCCCTGGCACAGGGTGACCACCCCAGGTTCGCTTCGTGGTTGCCATGACTAGCAAGAAAGATGATTATGTTCCTTCCTTGCTGCAGCATCATCCTTCATACAAGGGCTCTGGTGACTCCTGTCATGGAGACAGGCAGAGAGCATTTCTAGAGCCTGAGTCTGAATTGTGGTCACTTACGAGGTGTAGCATGCACACCATGTGCTCTGCCGAGGGGACTTGTGGCCTTCAGGAAGCTCCCTGGAGCGTCTGGCCTGCACATGCTCCAGCTCCCTGTGCTACAACAAGGAGAAGAGCCCTCCTCGATCATGGCTTTTTTTGTAAGAGTGAACACATCCATAGCATGAGATCCTCTGGTTTGTGGTGATGGGGAAATGCTCTGAAGAGTCATGACCATAACTAAGGATTTCAAGCTTACATTCAGCACTTCAGGACTGCTGTGTCCTTCCAACTGACACTCAGTCACTGGATGGAGCCTAATCGCCACCTGCTTTCTCTTCTTGCAACACAGATGTAATTCCTGTGGCCCATGTGTGGAAAATAATCTATAAAGAAGTAGTAGGCTGGGCAAGACGTGTTCAGAAACCCTACCCTCTTTAGGAAGCTTACACATCTTCTGTTCCCGTCGAGCGCCTGTCCATGTCCTGGAGGAGTACCAACACTGTGTATAAATCAAT